TCCTCCCCAGCCTCACCCATCTCTCCTCTCTTCCCTCACACAGCTTACTCTCTGTAAAGCAAATAGACTGGTTTTTAAAGCAGTTTGGGGTTCCCAGAAAGCAGAGTGTCCCTGTCTAGCCTCCCTGTGTGCAGAAGCACACGGTCCTCCATCCCACACCGGCATGAGCCATGAATGCGCCAGAACCACATGGGGTCGCAGGTGTCAACCCTTACTCCCCAGCCTGGAAGGCCATGGGGGGCATGTGCTCACACCAATGTCTGGCAGAGCTATTGTCCAGAGGTCTCTGCAAACCCCAGACTCGCAGAAATACTGCAGCGACTTAGGACACTTGCCTCGAGGGGGCACTGCCCACCCAGTCTTGGGAATGCTGCCTCATTATGGATCCTGCAGCCAAGGACAGCTGTCGGGGACACGGCCAGCAGAACCCTGCTGCCTCTCCCCTTCTGCCAGGGCCTTTGCCACTCAGAGGAGGGCCACTAGGGGGCGTGTAGGTGAAGGCGCTAGGCTCCAGCATGGCCGACCATGGTTCAAGTCCTGGCCCTGGGGGCTTGAAACTCACCTCAGGCCCCTGTGTGTGTGTGTAATTCCGATATGCTTGGGTTTGAACTGGTACCTTTTCTAAAAAAAATAATTATTTATTTAATCTTTTTATTTATTATTGTTATTATTTTAAATTTGCTATAGGGCCTGTGCACTCACCAGAGAGAGAGACAGAGAGACAGAGAGGGAAAGTGAAAAAGCAAGTCACCAGGTCCAGGACTCGAACTGCAGTCAGCCATGTGGATGTCCAATACCTTAATCACCATGCCACCTGCATGTCCCTGAACGGCTATTTTAATATTTACTCAATTTTTGTCTTACCAAATTGTGTATATTTTCTCATTCCTTGCTTTCTTTGAATAATCGCTTTCTATTTTTCCATTTGTCACCTCTTTTAGTTTGGTGACCATGAAATGTTGACAATCTGACAGTGTTTACACTGGAAATTGACCGTGCATCCTTGGCTAATATAAATTAATACTTCTGCCTTTTCTTTGATGATATAAGGACCTTTTTTTTTTTTTAGAGGTATTTGCTATAGAGCATGTGTGCTCACCAGAAAGACAGAGAGAGACAGAGAGACAGAAAACGAGAAATCATCCCCCAGGGGGGATGGCCACACCACAATCCCTTCTCCTCCATTCTCCTCACAGGATCTTGGGCACACACACACACACAGGCACCAGGCGTGAGT